GGTACGGAGGAGGAAGTCTGAGCATCGAGCCCTCTTCTCCCTTGGTTTGTTGGTCTCACTGGACTCATTTTGCATTTACTACAATTTGCGTTTATGGATGGGTACTTCAGAAGCCATCAAGGTGATTTGGAGACAGACTGTTTCTAATTAATGTTCACAAGAATTGAGCAACTAAATCTGTTGGGCATCTTTGGGAATAACTAGATTGCAAAACTGTGGTTTGCACCGAGGGAATGTTGCAAGCTGACACCAGGCTGGTCTGAAGCCAAGCGGGGGTCTGTAAAGCAGAGGTAAGGAGATCCCTGGACTGTTTTCTCAATAGCTTGCACGCAAAACGAGTTCCATGTGTAAGTCTAAGGGTTGTGGGGTTTGGTTTTTTTTAAAGCCACCAGCTCTGCAGCCTCCTCTGGGGGTTTGAAAATCCAACCCATATTCCGGCTGTCACCTTATCGCTGGTGTTAGAGATGCTCAGGCTTGAGTGAGCTGGGTCCATACTCCAGATGGCTCTTCCTCTCCTGCTGTGTTCAAGCACTTTCCACATAGTCACATGAAAGCAATTAGCAAACATTAGCTTTGAACCAGGGCCATAACAGGGAGAGAAAACAAAGCATTAAACCACGGATTGTCCCAGCATTTGAGGGAAAAGAATGAGAGAAATGCAGAAGGCATGTGAGGCTGTAGGTTTATTACAAAGATGGGGCTTGGCCCTTCACTGCCATAAAATTCAGCAACCAAAAAGCGCTGAGGATAGATGTGTTGGCGGTGAATCCTGCATCCACCCCCGTCGCAGGCTATGAAACTCTCACAGGACCGAGCAGTGTTACAAACACTCGTGCCTGATGGGCATTGCATGCCCCAGGGCAGGCGCTGTAAGAAAGGGCTCTTTTCATATATTCACTGCTTTTCAAACTGTTAGGATTTCATGAGATCTACACCAATTTTTTTGTGCCGAAAGCTCCACTCTGAGAGTCCTTTTGTCTAAGGCAACCACAAAAACATGGCTGTTCTGGGAGCTGAGGTTTTCTTCAGCAAATTATTTCACTGTGTATTCTAACAGTGGAGTTTATTTTTCAGTTGCTTTTGAAAGTGATTCTGTGGACTTGCTTTATTTCAAATATTAAGACTATTTTAAAATAAACACACAACAAACTTTCACTTGTTTTATGTGCAAATAATCAGCTCAAGGCAGGTAAAACACACAGAGAAGAGCAGTTCAGGGAGGGAGACAAATACAAGAGCAGATGCACTTTTCCACTGCTGACATTCATAGGTTTTATTCTTACTGCAGGATGGGCAGTGACTCAGTGGCCTGAGCACAGATGTCCCGGGGGACTGGGCAAAGGTGGTGGTGACAAATGCTGCAGGCAAAATCTTGTTAATTGTGCTGCTTAAAGAAAAGAAATAAAGATGGACAGGGAAAACAGCTGCTGGTACTTCTTCAAGTCTTTGTCTAAGTTCTTGATAACGTGTGGAATTACATAGGTGTTTACAGATTAAACTTTGACAAAGACTGATTTTTAGGCTATGAGCAAGACTGTTAATAATAGGCGAAAAAATTATGCATATGTGCAAGTGTTTGATTTAGGACTATCGTTGGTATCTTTGCTGATGCTCAGCACGTTCAACTCTCTCATTCAGATTACTTGCGTAAGAGGAAAATCTACATTTTTCTCCATTATACTTTCATGGCAAATAGTTCTGCATGAGAAGACTTCCAAGCGCAGGCTGAGAAGCTATGACACAGAAGAGGAATATTGCGAGGCAGCCAGAGCCGGAGAAGCAGCAGGTGGCAGAGGGGGAGGTTTGGGGCAGCGCGAAGCCCTGCGAGGGAACGGGATGCAAGGGGCAGAAAGGCGGAGGGCAAAGCTGAGCTCGAGGAGGCTCTTATCCCCCCGCTGCTGTAGGCAAAGCTGGAGAAAGATTCCCTTTCATCTGATGAAGGAGATCTTCCAGTGCCAGCCTCAAATCGAGCTACTTCAAAAACTTTTTAGAGTGCAAAAGAAATTATTTATGTTTATTGCTCAGTGGAAGCTATCCCAACACCCTGAAAGGAGTTAAGCATTATACATATTTTATGTTTAATCACATCTTCAGTGACACCCAACCACAAGCAAAGGCTTAAATTTCAATTAGGAGATGTGTTAAATGTTTAATAGGAATCATTCCTTACAGGGTAATTATATCTTAACATTCACTGGAGAGATGTTATGTTGGCAACGTAATGTTGATCTGAACAGGGATGATTTTGTTTTGGGTTTGGTTTGGGGTTTTTTTTGTATAATATCCAGATGAGAAACAGGAGGATGATCTGTACCATGTATACTCCAGACATGCTGCCCCTGTGCTGCCCAGCAACAGGCCTGGACCTGCGAAAAAGTGAAATTACATTCATGTGTAGCTTTGAACATGGATTTTTGGATCTCTGTGTGAAAAATGTTGTCCCACGTGCTGAGAAGCATCAGGCTGCATGTACCTTCAGTTTTGAACGTTTTTAAAACTGGTAACTGACTAGTCAGTACTTCAGCTGTAATATGGGAGGGTGACTCTTCGAGACAGATGATCTAGCAAGGATATCTTAAAAGTATCTATGGATTTGAATGCATTTACCAATTTTTAACGTTTGGTATGCATGTGTAAGATTTGTCTCCTAATATTTAGATTATCACAAAACTAATCAGTGTTACGCATTCACAACAAGCAAATTAAAGCCATGAAGTGAATTTTGAGCCCAGGCAGTTAAAATCAAAGGATGTTAAAATCAAATATCAAATGAGAACAGAGAAATGGGATATTGAGAAAAGCATCCAAAACTGTAGAAAAAGAAAGGAAAAAAAAACAAACTAGAATGCATTTGTCATGTAAGAGAACTGCATTGAGAGAAATAAAAATAATCCAAAAGACAAAGAATAGCCAAGCCCATATAGAATTATGACCACGACCAGGAAGGACCTTATCATAGAAACATAGAATGCTTTGGGTTGGAAGGGAGCCTTAGAGATCATCCAGCCC